CTTTTGGAATTTGCTTTGCTTCTGGCTTCTCGGTTCACAGAAGAACAAGCCCTGGCCTCTGAGGACACAGTTCAATCTTTATCTATTCAGTCAGTCATTGACTTTATGACACTGGAAGAATGATTATTGAAGCCATGGTTAATAAATGATGCCCATTTAAGTATTTGAGGACTTGTGTCTGAATTTAGAGACTCCAGGGTAGATTATGCTACCTTAGGTAACTAGGTTTTATTTTAGGAAATGAAAAGAAAAACTAATAGCTAATTGATCTGGGCCTGGAAAATTTCACAACATACAATTTATCTCTATGTTTTCTTTTCTTTGAGAGGGTTAATCAGCTCTTTCAAGAATAGAGAGATGAATGAACATGAAGAAATTGAGAACATTAAAAAGAGCCCAAGCAAATGGTTACTAGATGCTAGTCAGGCGAAAATAAATCTTATTGATTTGAATGGTATCTGAAAAACACTGAGGGCTCAGCTCAGAAATGGTACTCTGCTATATATTGCCTAAAGTCTTTGAAATTTATTAATCTAGAGTATATAAATAGAAATTCACCAATAGTGAGTTTCAGAATTAGGAGTTAGTTAAGACTTAACAACCAGTGAATGTCAGGAGAAATCTTAGTTTGCATTCCTTGACCAATAGTCTCAACAATGACAATTAACTATAACTGGCATGTACTTCAAACTCCAAATGCTCTAAGAAAGAACATGGGAATACATGATAGAAGCAAATGCATTGTCCTTTTATACTTGAATACACCCAGTTGTTTCTACCAACAAGATAATCATGTTGACTTTTGTTGTTTTTTTTTTCCTCCTAATAAAAGTGTAAGCCTGGCATGGTGGCTCATACCTGTAATTCCAGGGGCTGGGGAGGCTGAGACAGGAGGATTATGAGTTCACAGATAGCCTTAGCAAAAGCGAGGCACTAAGCAACTCAGTGAAACCCTGTTTGTAAATAAAGTACAAAATAGGGCTGGAATGTGGCTCAGTGGTTGAATGCCCCTGAGTTCAATCCCTGATACCCCACTCCAAAAAAAAAGTGTATACTGAGTATACACAATTTTTTTTAAATCTCAGGATGTATGGGGATATTTGCAATGCTGCAAATGTTCCCTGCTGTGAAGCTATATCTTTTTGCAAAACTAAGCATTCTATTGATAGATTTTTTTCTTGTAAACCATACCATTTAAGCAATGAAGCTAATTGGTTTCCATGTATTTATACTCATGGGTAAGTTTAGAGAAACTATCCACTAAGTATTTACTGTCACCCAGAACTTTTCTAAGGATACTAGGATGCAAAAGAAGTAAATGAATAGCCTCTGCACTCAAAGAATTACCAGTCTTATTAAGGATTTAAGGTTTACATGAATTATTAAAATAGTAAATAATGTAAGTCATTCTACTTCCAGGCAAAAATGTATCTTATAGACACAAAATCAATGATTCTCAAGTTTAAGTGTACATAGATATTAGGTAGGAGCCAACTAAACATGAAGATTCCCAAGCCTCATTTTGATCCTATTCGGCAAGTATCTACATTTTTGTCCAGCATTCTAGGATATTCAGATGCAGCTGGACCAAGGACACCCTGGGTGGGTACATGCAAAGTCAGGGACTAGGAACTTGGGCAAAGAATGGAATTGTCAGGATGGTTTATAGAGAGCAGCAGATTTGAGATGAGCCTGGAAAATCAAACTTCAAGGATGAGAGAGAGAAGGGAATTGTATTCTTGGAAGAGGGAGACGCTTGAAGAAAATCACAAATTTGAGAATAAATATGACATAAGAAAGAAACAACCAGAAATGGTTCTGAGAAAAGAATGTGGAATGGGGAATTCCATTCCCCATATGCTGGTTGTCTGTGCAAGCACAGAAGATGATCCAGCTTCTTTAATAAAGATAAGGAACTCTTCTTTCCTTTGTGCCTTAACCAGAGTTTCATACAATTTATGTCCATTCATAATGCTCAGTGGAAAACCTCAGATCTGCATCCCTAAATTTATCAGCGAGGTGCCTACATACAAATTCCAGATTTGATGATTAGAGTTTAATGTCAAATGAGTAGGCATTATTGTAGACACATAACATAGTACAAAAACTATTACTTTAGGAACCAGAAAGAAGTGTATTCAAATCAATATGCTAATTAGTAGTTGAAATATTTTACTCAACCTCTTTGAATTTTTTTTCCAAATGGACAAAATATATAGTAATAATACAGATATATAGAACTTATATTGGGTTTTGAATATTAAATGAGGTGGCAAATGTAAACTTTCTGGCACAGAGCAAATAATAATAAATACATCAACAGTATTTATAATTCTTTATTTTCTTTTTGCAGTATTGGTGATTGAGCCTAAGGTGTTGTGCAAGCTAGGCAAGTGCTTCACCACTGAGCTACATTCCCAGCAACATATATATATATATATATATATATATATATATATATATATATATATATATGTGTGTGTGTGTGTATATATATATATATATATATATATATATATATATAATTTTATTTTGTAGGCAGGGTCTTGTTAAGTTGCTGAGGCTGGCCTTGAACTTGCAATCCTCCTGCCTCAGCCTCCTGAGTAGATGGGATTACAGACATGTGCCAACACCCTGTTTGTATTTTTTTATATATATATTTGTAAAGAACATGTTTTAAATGGTGTAATCCGTGATCGTGCAATGGTGTGGTTTAATTTGGATTAAACATAGCACAATTTGATATATTAAGAGATTCATGTTTTCTGTAGAAAGAACAGGTAAAGATCGACAATTGTATTGATCTGGATTTGGCCTGGAACTGACCAATCACATGACGCAATTTAAAGGAAGCCTGAAGACATGTGCCCAAGAAGCCCCAAGATCTCCTGGAGTTTTATTCCCTGGTTAGTGTTGCAGACATCCAACTCATATTGATCACTCATATTTAATGGAATTATTGTGTTAGTGCTTTTCTCTCTGTGACAGCAGAGAGAAGAAAATCACTGAGGAAAAAGAGAATGGCTGGACATTAAACAGAAGGTAGAACCATTCTGTAATCATGGATAGCCATGGAAGATCAAGCTGGTAATTTAGCTTCAGTCTTCTGAAGAAATGGGCACCAGAAGAGAGGCACAGAACAGAGGCGCTAATAAATGTCAAGTGCTTTTCCTGTAGCCTCTGCCTGGTTTAAGTGCCACAGTTCCCTGCATGTATGTATGGGCCTTCATTTCCCTTAAATGTCACACAGATGCCTTTTTATTTTTTGGTGTCATCTCACTAGGTAAAATCATCTAAGATAAGAAAGTGAGGTTCAAATGGTTTCACCAGGTGGCCTAAAGAAATCTGAGAACAGAAGTGGTTTCTTCAAAATATAGACCAAAAAAAACGCATGCAATGAACAAGACAGGGTGATAATGGAAAAAAAAATAAGTATCACGACTCATTTTAGCAATTCAGTTCTTCTAATGTGTTTTTTAAACATTATATTGTTACTATTTATTTATTATTGCTCACTATTTATTACTAGTAAATGTCTTTTCTTTCATCTGAGAAATCTGTGATATAATACACCTTTCTGATTTGGAAAGTTATTTTTCTGTTTACTAGTCTGATTTTCCTGAACCATTGCATGTAATTTGTCTAGAAATTTATATTTTTTTAAGAAAGAAAAATGCTGTTTCGTTTATATTAATATGGTGAGTGCTGGTAAAGGAAATGATTTCCTTGACAGGAAAAGAAATCAGAGTTACATTAGTGTAGAATTAGAAATAAGGTCTAAATGCTAGTCATAGATTACATAGGACTAAGGTTATTTGTGTCAAGAAAAACTAATGATAAATTAGAGGAGGGCTTGGAGTGTGTTTTCTTTATACCCAAGGCTGAGTGCATAGTAGTTACTTAGTAGAGGTTTAATGCATAATTAATTCACATCACAGTGAGAAACTAACTAGAGTCCCTATCTCTAAGGAGTTTCAAAATATAGTTTGGAACAGCTCCCATCTTCACACATGCTCACATTTTAACTAATGTTAGTGTGTGTATATTTGCACACACACACAATATACACCTTGGATAATCCTAGCGCCTCTTCTCTGTGCAGATTTCCTGATAATTACAAGGTCAACATCAGCAGTGTGTAACAATTCAAGCCTATGAAGGTCTAAAAGCAGAAAGCTTGTATAAGATTTTATGGTTACTTTTGGTTTCCTATCAGAATGACAATAGGCTCTAAGAGATACACAGAACTTTGTGTTCAACCTAGAGAGGAAATTTGCCATCAATTTGTTTATTAGTTTGTATTAATTATATAGATGAGGAGGCTTCATTGTGTCATATTTGTAAATGCATATAACAGGCTTTCATCATTTGCACCCCAATCCTACCCACCCTCCTTTCTCTCTCCTCCCGAGGCTGTCCCCTTCATCTTCACGTAGATACACAGTAGTGTATGATTCTGCCATTATTTTTGCAGAAGGCTGCCTCAGTACACAATCTGCAAAGCACCTGGAAAATTCCTCAACACCCAAAACTCTCCTTTTTCCACTGCCATACACTGAGATACTTACTACTGGAGTTGCCATTTCAATTCAGAAATAGATAATAGACTTTCTTAGAAAGGACACTGGAGACTCCTGTGGAGACGGGCTCATACACCACCACAGTGCGGTGATAACTCCTGTTAGGAGACATTGAGACATCAAAAGGGCAGAGGGAACGGGATGCAGTGTGGGCAAAGGCAGCCAACTTCACCATTCTGCCTTCCCTGGGCTTCTCATTCTAGAGTTAACTTGTACGAAGAAAGAAAGGAAAACACAGTATTCCTTTTGATTTCTTGCAAACGCTATTGGGCTTATCTCTCTATTTTAATTGTGATAGTAAAACAATAAAAAAGGAGATTTAATTTTAACTAATGTTAGTCTGACTAGGGCAGTGAATGAAGGTGGTGTGCTGGAAAAATATTAATCCAGGTTGGTTATTTAACACCTGCCTTAATTTGAGGAAGATGCTTTCCAACCCACCTGCTCCAGACAATGAAACTCCTCAGTTATATTTTGGCTTATCGACAATTTCTCCTTGTGGTGTTCAGTGTGCTGGTTTTACTCCCGCTTCCTCTCGTCCTCCACGCTAAGGTAGGTAAACCTGGAGACTACTGGTGGGTTTCCTGATTTATATTAATTGTCCTTTATTCCTGTTGCTTATTTGCTTGGCACAGAGCGGAATGAGTGGTGATACTTTATGCTTGAAGTCAGGATGGTTTTTCATTGTGTTTGGTCATTTTCCTCCTTTTTAATGGTTAATGTTAGTTGATTCTCAGTATGATTAACCAGAGTCATTGAATATCCCAGTCAATTGGAATTTTTCTCTGTCAACTAGATGACAAGAAAAACAGATGAAGTTCAACCCTTGAGATCTCCTGGTTCAAGTTACCCACCCCCAGGAAATATCCCAGCAATGTGACACTGGAGTAGAGAGCGAGAGGAATAATGGGGAATCTCAGAGTTCAGTTCTGTAGCTTGGTGCAGGTCATAGAACATCCTGGAAATTCAGTTTCCTTGTGGCATAAGGAGATAGTGAAAGCATGAAGTAATTTTCCTTGTCTAATCAGAAACTTTAATAAATCATTGTATCGTGTATGGTAATTTTGGATTTTATTTCATTATTACTGCTCTTGGAAGCATTTTTCTGTTTGCTTTAGAAAATAATCAGTGTACTAAGTCCAGAATAATAAACTCAATGCATTTTAATCTCATGGTGAAGTGATTTGAATAAAAAAAAAAAACTTAGTGAGTGAGCACTTTCTCTATGCCAGCCACAAGTGTCACCTGGTGGCAATAAAACAGGCTTTGGAGCCAGCATCTTTGCTTCAGGTCCCAGATTTAGCACTTGCATGCTGTGTGACAGGAATAAGTTCCATGGTTTCTCTGTTCTTCTGTTTTGTTTTATCATATGTAAGTTGGATGATGGCAGGCTTACTGTGAGGATCATATGGTAAATGTCCATCAAGCACTTACTTGAAGCAGCTTCTGGCTCCCAGTAAGTGCAGCATCCTGGGCCTCCAAGTGGTTGACTCCACAGCTGGGGCAATTCCCACCATGCCACGATGCACATCCACTTCTCTCAGTGGAAGAGAACATTGCTGATGTTCTTCTCTAGCAAGCCTTATTCAAGGTTAACAAAATACAATCATATTAATTGTAACACCATGGGCCCTCCTACCTCTGTCAGAAGTCTTTGGCACCTATCTGGGAATCTCTAAGGGAAATCCTTGTGAAGTTATAGAAAGATCTTTTAGACTCTGCTAAGGTCTATTCCACCTGCAATGCTAGCAAAGGGACTAGCCCCTGCTTCACAGTGGGAGGTTGCCTGAAAGGAGACAACCTACCAGCTGCAGCACCCCAAGGGGAGATCCCTTTTCCTGAGAATAGGTCCCAGTGTATACTGGCAGCCACAGCATATGGCAAAACAGAGGCACCAACCCAGGGCTATAGTCTGAATTCCCCCTTCACTCCACAGAGAACTTGATATTCCATCTAATAGGCATGATGCCTTCCCTTTCTATTCCACCCCACCAGGGTCCCATGGTTTTCCCCAGACCTGGGGAAATGAATGAATCATGAATCCTATCATGATTACATCTTGGTTCATACCTGGCCCCCTGCTATGGTTGAATATTTCTGCATTAGTCCAGGCATAAGGTCTTTGCTCGGCAGAGAACACAGGAAATTAAATAATCAAGGCAAATTTAGATCATGATGGCACATTAACTGTGCTTCTCCTTTGACATATGAACACATGACACTCTATCACCCATAATTTTAAAAAAAAAATAAATGTAAATTCATTGAAACAGAGAACAAGTAAATAAATAAAAAGCAATGGTTTGAGTGTATGATTTGTTAGCTGGAAAGTACACCATTGCTAAGAAATGCAGCCAGTGATTTCTTTGTTCCAAGATGCTATGGCAAAAATACATTAGGTCTGTGCAAACCCAGGAGCATTAAGATGCATTTGTGAACATGCTCCTCTTTTCTTTCCTTCTAATCAACTCATTTGTTAAAACTCAGTGGATGTTAATAGGAGTTTTTCCCAGTATGATAATATGATTTCATTTTTTGGCCACTTTAAATACATATTTAATCATTCCATCAGCTGCTATTTAAACTTAAAGAATATCATTTTAACTCTTTCCTACAATGAAAGCAGTACATCTTTTCCAGGGTATTTGGACCTTTTAAACGTATGAAATTTAAGTAGAGGTTTACTTTGACTTGGATGCAAATCAATTTACTATTAACTTTTAGGTTACTAACTAGAGAAATCTGTTTGTAGAGACATTGTAACATGAAGAATTTGAACAAAGCAAAAGCCAAGATTGTCTTTCAAACCCATGACAAATCTACATAATACAGAACCAATGAACAATGAATTATTGACTGATATTTTTATTTTCCTACTTACTGGCCATTGAGTAATTTTTATAGATGGTTCTCCTACCTTAATTCCACCTCCTGTCAAAAGTGTGTCATTAGTAGAGACCCTGGGAAGATTTTCAAGGTAATGTTGAAAAGGAAGGAGAAAGGACTGGCTTTGCAAAAGAGCACACTTCTGTTCAGACATTCTGACAACCAAGTTGCCCAAATTGTCTTATTTACCCTTCACTGAAAACCAACAAGTGATTACCTATGTGCTATCATTCTTATTTCACATTGGAAGGCCTCAGTAAAGGCCATCAAGATGCTATAGAAAATGGTTTTAAACTTGGGTTTTGTCAGAACTCAGAAGTCATGGATTAACAGTGATTTTGTTTTAGACTTTTCTATATATTTTGTTTTTGAAGATTTACTCTCAGTGGTTTTTTAATCATTTATCAGCAACTCAGGTAGTTCTCTTTATCATAGAGTTCCTGACAGGCAGAACAGCAGGAGATCTATCTTAGCCACTTCCTCAATTGACATGATGCCAATCAAAGTCTTTAAGCTAGAGCATTGTAGTGACTCTAATCACTGGAGAGAGATCTTTGAAAACTAAAGCAAAGGACTACTCAGAAATGTGACAACTGCTCATTGTCCCAGAGTCCCAGCTATACAAGCCGGGCATGTCGGTGCATCAAGATATGATACCACTTAACTTCATACCTGTGCTATTGGGCTAGTATACTAATTTCTCTAGCTGGCAGGGAGCTTGGGACTGTGTTTTTCAGTGTTTTCATGGGAATGATATTTTCTGGCAAAGGAGAACATGTTTCACCCCAGGAGCTTGTGGACATAAGTCAAATAGAAGCACAAATTTAATCTTTATGAATTCTGTATTATTATTATGATCCAAAATGTGCTAATTAGAAAAAGAGACAAAATCATGTAAGTTGGCTATGCAGAAGTTTTCAATCAACATCTGTCTGACCAGAGCCAGCAATCTTAATTACAACTGAATATGTGTGTCTTTTCAGCTTCCATGGTAGTAACAAGGGCATTCCTATTGCACCGGCATGGATTTACCTTTCCTAAAGAACTTTTGTTCCCTTATTTATTTATACTGATGCACCACAAATATTTTATAATTGTCACCTAAAGATAAAAGTACCCAGTTCTTCCCCTATTAGTAGTTAATGATCAGTAAACAAGCTTATAATATAACTCCTATTTGCTTATTTAAATGAAATATTTCCACTGAACTTTCTCATTTTGGAAAGGAAAGTCCTTAAGTATTTCACAATAAGTTGTAAAAACCAGTCTCAGTTACATGCCATAGTTATAATGAGGTTCCCTACACAACTGTGATCTTCTATGACTATTTCTATCATTTTGTAAATTTTAGTACTATTTTATTACTTATTTTTCCAGAGCTTGGTTTTTCTCTATATTTCTATTCCTGAAACAAAAAGATGAGAAGTAAGGAGAAAATTGAATGACATATTGTATTTGTAGAGTGCCTGTCTTCTAGTTATGCCTCACTCCATTCAGTTTATCTACTAATTAGGACTCCTTGCTACAAGGAAAAGACAAGCAGTATTCTCTAGTTGATGGGTTGTGAAATTCAGGAAAGATTTCTGTTTTTTTCTCAGGTACTTCTTCTGGCTTTCTGTAGAAAATATTTTATAACCTAGAAAGACTTAAAGAGAGAAGAATTCAAGAATGAGAGAGGGGACATGGAAGGGCATCAGTGCCTGAGACAGCAGGAGCCAGGAGTGTGGACTTGGCTGAGAGGGCCAGCTCCATTTCTGCCCCGAATCTGTGCTGCCTGAATCTCCTTCATGATGTGGTCACTTGAGGCATTGTGACTTTCGATTGGCATATAATGAGTCTTAGTGCTAAATTAAAAAAAAAATTGATAGATGAGCGAAATATAATGATTATAAGGAAATATAAACCTTAAAGGGACAAAGGATCTACTAGCAGGGGAAGGAGGGAGGTTAGGAGGGCTGTTAAAGAAAATGAAAATGAGTGGGAGAGAACTATAAAAAAGACTAAGTGAAAGGGGAGGAAGGGGGGAAATTACAGGAAATCATAAAGAGCTTTTAAAGTGCCAAATTGAACAATTACATATGTTACTAGAACAACTAAGATTGTTTTAAATGTTCATTTAAAATGTATGGATTTAAGACAAAGGACATTATGCTATAAACTTAAAGGAAGTGGACATTTTAGACACTAAAGAACATGGAAATGATGTGGGGAAAAACCCAGGAAAAACATCATGCTAATAATGATGTGACAGATGAACAAAACCAGGATATCCAAATTTGATATTTTTTAATATCATGAATATTTTACATAAACTTTGATCTCCAACTGTTGGGTCAGTTAGCGGTGTGATATAAGCAAAAATTTAAATTAATATTTCTGCCTTTAAGTACCTTGTAGAATTGCTGAAAAGTCGACATATACAATCACAAACATTAATGAGAAAATAAGGCGATATATAAACACTTGCCAAATGATTAAAAAAATAATTTGTGCTGTGAATGTGTAATTGACAGGTGAATAGACTCATCTCTCACCAGCTCCTCCATTCCCCCAACCATTCACAATCCCACTGGCCCTTAACCTGCAGTTGCTCCTCCTTTCTGTGTTCCAGAGAGAGCTGCTTCCCTTCACCCTGTTCTCAGGCCTGAAACCTATGTGTCACTCCC